GTTATGACGGCACAAGTCTTTTTGGATCTGCTGGATCATGCATTCTTTAAAATGGAGAAGGCAGCTCTATTGATATTCGATGAATGTCATCATGCACTCGGCAGTAAACACAGTTATCGAGTTATCATGCAGCGATACTCGCAACTACCGAAAAGTTTGTTTGTCCGTTCGTTTTGTTTCATTAACCTTACCTAGCGATTCTTCAATTCCCACTTGATAAAGATCGACGGAAAATACGCTGATTTCGGGTAAAATGAAAACACACTTGATATTTGACAGTCTTTTGGTGACGAAAATAATAAGGACCGTGAAGATATTTTTTGAACCGTATTTTTTGTGTTTTCAACACCATTTTTTAACGATCACTGTGTTTTATGAATTCATTTGTTTCAAGAAATATATATCCTCTGAACTTGAGAATATGATTGAAGTGAATTGAAATGGAGAGATGTTTATTTGTTTTCTTTTTTTGTCTATCATTTTTGTTGCAGATGAACGACCGAAAGTGTTGGGATTAACAGCGTCTTTGATAAACAGCAAAACACCACCGAGTAAACTGGAGCAGTTGCTCGAAAGACTCGAACTCACCATGAACTGTAGCATAGAAACGGCTAGCGATCTCGTTTCGGTATGTCATTTCCGTCGCTTCAAATGCATCCTTCTTCCTTTCTTCTCATTATCTTATGGTGCATTTTTGTTCATTATGAATGCATTTTTCTGCCCTTCATCATAGACTTTAACGTACTATTGGTGAGTCGCTAACGAATGTGATGTTTTCGTGTGTCATTCATTAATTCTAGGTGGCGAAGTATGGTGCAAAACCACGAGAATTCGTGTTGGAATGTGAGAATTTTGTTTACGATCAGACTGAGGCGAACAAGAAAGTTTTATCAATATTGGTGAGTCGTTGATTTCGATTCATTCCGAGGTCTATTCCCACTGTTTTTATCGAATTTTTTACAATTTTTATTATTGATTGGTATTATTGAAATATGTTTGTTTTAGACGAGGGTATGTAATCTTTGTGGAAATTGTCGAGAATTTCATCCAGAATTCGACGTAGATCCACGAAAACCTTTGATGGAAGCGATCAGTAGGACAACCTCGGTTCTGAAACAGATGGGTGCGTGGTGTGCATGGAAAGTGTGTCAGGTGAGTTATAAACTATTTCACCAACATTTTCCATTAATTTAAGGAGTTTATTCGACTATTCGTT